GCACAGGAAAGAGTGAACATGACAACCTTACCAGTACGAAAAAGGCGGGTTCCGTGCAGTATCCCAGTCACGGGGGAACGGGAACTTGCGATGGATACGACGTTCTGCCTTTGACTCGTCGTCCACGCTGTCAAAGCCGACGACACGTTGAAGGAAAACATGGAGGTCGGGGTGCGATGTCGGATCTTTTGTCACCTCAAACAATGGCCGGAATACGTCTGGGGGTTGAGTTCAAACTTGCTGCCACCGAACGAGGGGTGCAGGGACCTACTAATGACGATATCCTCGAAAGTATTGACCACACCATTTTCTTTGTACACATTGTACAATCGCGGCACTTGAATAAGCCAGCGAACATTGTGTGAGAACAACTTATTGTTGATTACCCATTTGGCAATATTGTCCCATTCATCCACGGATCTCCCGTATATGCTGACTCGCCATTCGCAATTCTAGTGGAATGTGTAAGGACTGCAATCCAGATATGGCCACATCCATGCTTACTTGATACTTGCTCTGTTCCAGATCTGTCATGACCTCTGGAAAGAAATTTTAGAATTCGAATCCAATCGTGGGAAGGGTGCGTACCTCGGGTGAGTTCAGCAAAATATCGTCCGTCAATAAGGTTGTCGATCTTTAAGAATATCTCTCGAAGCCTGGACTCTCCGATTGGGTTGTATTTGAGGTTGAATTTGTCGAACCGGTGAAATGAATCTTGGTGAGCATGCATGTCAAGTGTATCGATGGAAAGGTCGTAAGCGCTCAATTTCAGCGACTGGAAAACTTGCTCGAGGGTTAACTTAGCCCCATCCCGAAAAATCACAACGTCCTAAAGACCGAGATTGGCGCAGGTTCAGCGTGAGGTAAGGAAACTCACATGCGAACTGCGTTTCATCTTTGCTTTGATGAACCGCAACAGATGTTTCTGGTTCATGCAACTGGCCAGATGCACATGCGTGTCCACTTTACGGAGATTGTAGAAATCTCTAAAGATAAGTGTCAGAGGCGCCAGATATGATATAGTTCAAGCCTAACCTGTGAGGCACGCTCTAGAAATCGTATCGTGAGCTCAAAACAATGGAGTTGGTGGAAGCTGCGAACTTTCATGGCAGCCAGCTCTTGAGATTCGTTGAGCAGGGTGTACATCTCGAATTTACTTGCAAGGTACTTCAACCTCCGGTACGCTATGCTTTTGGCGGGACCGTCAGATATGACCTCAAGAACGTAATCGAGATCAACGAAGTATTCCCTGATGGATGGAATCTCAAAGAGCGGCTGTTTATCCGAGGCTTATGGTATATTTTTCAGATGTATGAAGAGTAAGACAGACCCACACGCACCTGCAGCAGTGAGATACACCTGGTACACTCCCTTACTATCAATCTCAAACTCCCACGACTGTGGCCCTGGTATCTGACACGTCGAAAAATCAAACTCGTCGTCCTCTGGAGTGACGTGACCATCAGCAGTGAAGACATCTTTTTTGGGAGAAAAGTGCCAGTGCGGCGGGGGAGGCTTAGGGTAGATCTTCCAAGGCTCGTATGGGCTCTCCAGAACTTGATCCCTGGTGCAGTCGGCGTTCGGTGTTACACCTGAGACGTCTGCAGACCCCTCAGCTATTCCTTTGAAGTTACCGTCATGATCCCTAGGGTTGTCACCGAGTCTCTGGAGGGATCTCGCTATATACTTGTCGCGTAGCCCGAGGCATCGTTTGAAGTGCTCGAAAGCCCGTACCATCTCAGGCGTAATGGAAGCCTGCACTGGATTGGGCCTCAGTTGTCTCTTACTGTCCGAAATGATTCAGAAAACTCGCACATTGCAGTTGTGGCTCAACAGTGTGCAATTTATCTTCATCCTCGGCGAAAGGTGACGTGTTCTGCTGCTCCTCGCTCACCGGGGGCTTTAAGGACTCGCGAATTGCTGAAAGCCCAAAGCTCCCGCCAGCTGATGGGGTACTATCCGAGAGGACAGCAGAGACATCAGATGTGCGTCGATGAGCCCATCTTTTCTCTTCCATCTAGTCAAGAAGCAGAATCACAGATCTGGCCCTGATTGGAGCCGATTAGCAACGTACTTGCTGTAGGCTCTTTTCGTCATTATAACCGTAAAATCCGTCTCTGGACTCGGGAATAAGTAGTCCAGAGCTGGATTCGACTACATCGCTGGAGATTGAGGTCCGGGAGGGGGGCCCAGACGCATTTTCCGTAATAATTTGCGGTGCACTCATATCGGCCATGATAACGCGTTTGAAGTGCAGGATAGTGGTAGACCGCAAAGAGAGGAAGGCGGAGTGCGCCACGCTGAGATTCTTGAAGCTTGATGCATCATGTCAAAAGCGGATCATCAATGGAAATAATTTTCAACATATAATAATAACATTATTAATGCTATCAGGTACAACAAGAATTCAATCGACCGTTTTCTTTTACGTCCATCGAGCTCACTGTTGGCGACGCATACCTAGGGTACAAACGAGTCTTCGAGGACGGGCGCGACGATCAGCGCGATGGGAAACACAACATCTAACACGAACCACAGCCGCCCGTCACCAGTCCCAACTAGGCGAATCGATTCGCCCAGTCGCAAACATCCTCAGTCTCATTCACCGTCTCCTAACCCCAACCATCCTCACCCTTCCTTACGCACCAAGAAAAAATCTCTCGAGCTGCCAGATCTTGCATTACTCTCTTTGACTCCTTCAAATTCTCACCAAGGCTCTGCAAATTCATCTCCCTTATCCTCATACCGCCGACCACCGAGAACCACTTCCCCAATCCCAATCCCGATTCCAACCTCTAACAATGGCACAATGAATAATGCGTCAAACACTGGAACTTCTCCTCGTGGCAGGCAACCCAATGTAAAAGCGAATATTGCACGAGAGACCAATACGTCCAATTACTCTGCGGAACTCTTGCTTGATCAGCCCCCGTCGACCCATATCCCAGTCAATCATTATCATCACCGCGCTCGAGGTAGCGTATATCTTCGAGGCGCTCCCCTGAAATACAATTCTACACATTCATTTGCTTCCCGTGCTCAGGCTGCCCCGCAGCCCCGCATGCAGGAGCTATTCGCCGAGAGCCAGATCGAGCCATCCGCGGACCCTGATCCACAGGAGTTTGTCCAGGAGACTGTTCATTCAACAATCCCCCTAGCACTGCACAGGGCCGAGGAAGAATTTGTTGCTACCACCACCGATGACATAGACGAAAATGGCCAGCCTATCCGTAATCGTCCCACTCCTTCCTTTGATGAACCAAAAGAAACTGTGAACGTCAAAATCACTTGGCATGGTGGAGGAAAATCTGTTGTCCTCGCCCGCGCGGGTGATGACAACTGGAAAGGCCGCCAACCAATGGAATCAAAGTATGTACGAGTTGTATTGATTTTTTCGTGTTACTGATCCACAAAGCAGCAACCCCCCAGAGGATACTTCGTGGTCTACTTGGGTATCACTCATGCCTGGGACACACCATATTCGTTTCCTCGTCGACGAGCAATGGCGCCTAGCCAATGATCTCCCCACAGCTGTCGATGACGAAGGCACCCTCGCGAATTATGTCGCAGTCTCAATCTCTGGGTTGACACCACCGCAACCCACAGTCGTGCCTGCCACACCTGCGAAGCAGCCCGTTCATGTACAAGTACATTCCTTCTGGTCAAGCACAACTTCTACTCATGGTTCCATGATCGACACTCCCTTTGCTTCTGATCCCACGGGAACATCGTCCAAGTGGACAGACCAAATTCCCGCTGGGCTCGTGGCCGCTGCTCGTGAAGAGGAGGCTTATCTTGCCTACACCGCTGCCGCAGAGTACGACCAATCAGGCTACGCTAACAGCCACCAGCCACACGTCCCTGCGCCAAATATCCCTCCAGCTCCAGTTCTCCCTAGGCATCTAGACAAACTGATTTTGAACACCAAAGCTGGGCAGCCCCCACCTTCGACAAGGGGCCGTGAGCGAGAGCGTGAGAGGGAACGCGAAAGAGAACACAGACGAAAGCAAGGGCGATCACTGCTTGGTATGACCAGCACTCTTGCGCGCGATCTCTATAAAGATGACAAAGCTGGGGAGGCGGAGCGTCCGTCAATTCCTATCACCACAGCGAGCGGAACGGATGTAACCACAGCTCACCTTGCAACTCCGTCTCAGGCTCACACCCGTCTCGGATTGGATGGTCCTGGGCTATCGGATGACGCCAGTGTACTCCCCGTTCCATCCCACGTAGTACTCCATCACCTGAGTACAAGCGCAATACGCAATGGTGTGCTCGCTGTCGGGAACACAACGCGTTATCGCCAGAAGGTAATCGTGCTTCATTTGCATTCATCCCTCACATAACTCACAAACATAGCAGTTTCTCACGACGATATACTATAAACCTACTTGAAATGTGCGGCTGGGATCGCTATGGCAACATGCCAGACATGGCTAGAACTCTCCTATCGGGAACCTTCACAAAGAGGTCATTCACCTATTTATCGATGAAAAACCAATTCGTCGTTCTTGGGGATATTTCCTTAGACTGTCCATGACATATGATACATGTGGAATGGCCAAGCGTTTCGGTTCAATGTCCAACACTTCCACCTCACTGATCTGCGCTATGCCCCATGGTCATTCATCTACACGCTCACCCACAGCAGATTCCTAGAATACTTGGCAGCACTTTTCCCTTCTCACCAAGACAAATATGGCCCTTCGTAAATGGTTTTATATGTTTGCCAACACCCATCATGTGTATGCATGTAATTTCAGGTTCTTTTCCTTTTTTGTTTCGTTTGTATGTTCCTACTTCCGACACCATCATGATGGACATGTTGATTGTTGTACCTGTCGACCTGTATAGACTACTCGCCTGCACTATCTGCCCAACATGTATCTTACGATGTCCGCAATACATACGTCCAGTATACTCCTCCCATGATGTTGTCCTGGACAATAAGATTGGTACTAGTAGTAGCAGAGAGATCTGACAAAAAAGAATTGGAAACTAGCCCACCGCGAGGGTCGAACTCGCAGCCTTCAGATCACGAGGTATTGCCCGCCGTAAAAGTCTGACGCTCTGGCCAATTGAGCTAGGCGGGCCTGCTTCACAAGTTCTTGAAGAGCCTCACGTTCAGTGGTGTGGTTTAGCGTCACTTAAAAAATGGTGATCCTGGAGGCTCTACATCTTCATCTCCAGTGTGACCAAGGTCTTGCCACCATCGGTGAGCGTGACACTCCCGGGCCTCTTTCACTGCGATGGAATTGGTAACAGCATCCTAGCCCGGCCTTCCCAGCGCCGACCCGACAAGGTATGGGACTTGGAAGCCATTTGACATCCTAGCCTTTGGGATCGAAGAAAGAGACCAAAAAAGCAACAGTCCTCGAGGATCAATTGGGGAGAAACCTTTGGCGGCACAGCTAGTCTGGATGCCTGCTAACCCGACTCGAAACTCGACTCAGAAAACAATGCACACGAGTTGACCAAGGTGAGCTGCCCGTCGCCCAAGGTTAGCCATGATAACGGACATCACATCGTTGAAGAATTCTTCATCTGTTGATACCTCATGACGTATCTGCGCGTCAAAAGCTTCAAGAACACCACAAAGCCGTGAACAGCACTATACATCCACGGTCGCCGAGATCTCCGAGGTATATGAATCGATCTTAGGCAGTTTTGAGCGCCGTCGTCGTTCTCCGCGTTACGAAAGAGCGGAAAGAAGATCACGAACCAGAACCGCACTCGCACACACCCGTATGCCTAGGGTATGAAGACGTCAATACAACGTAAACATTCGCCCACCTGAAAGTTAGATGAGCACAGAACGTGCGGCAATAAGAACACTGCCTTCCCGGAGCAGTGCCTTGACATACCCGCATGTCTCGGTGAGGCCAGAAGACGCTGCAACCGTGCACTCATACGTATTATCGACAAGGCGACACCCGGGCCACGCGAACCACATGCGGTAGGCGAATTAACCAGTGGGTATCGATATCTTCCGTCCTGCTGGGAGTGCTGAAGAGCGTGCGGCATCCACTTACATAGACGCTCGCACGCCTAGGACACCAGGTTCGAGTGGGCACTCCAGGTAACCGAGCAAAAAATATGTGCTTGCCGGTGAGGGGCAGTTCTCCAAAGCTACATGAAGTGGGTGGAGATACTGAGTTCGAAATGTTGTTGGTCCTTGACAAACTACCTTCTTCCTCAACCTAATCACCATATGCTAAATGCCTGTAGGCAGAAGACCATAGTATGCAAATAGTGCTGATACATACCGTCTGCTGGCTAAATAACCAAGCACCACATCCGACGGCGGCGAACCTCAACCCGTGTCGCATGGAAATTAACCCAAGATTAATGCATCACCACGAAGGGTAGATCAGTGGAGACCGAATGGGTAGTCCTCGTTGTGCTCGTTTATGTGCACGCGCACCACCCTACTTAAATCACCCTGCAATGTATAAGCACCGGGACATCCTCATGGTCAGCGCAACCACGAAGAGGAAATGACAATACTGGTGAGGGTTCAATGGATTGCACTCTTAAAAAGCTGCAGCTCACCTGTATCGATGATCCTCATCCAGGGGTTCCTTCGAAATTTTATAGCTTGCGCGGTGGAGTTTGTAACGCAGCGCAGACCATGGAAGAATCAACCGAACAGGCGGTGTCGTGGCGACGTTCGATACACAGGGTTCTCGAGATCATGGTCGACACGAGCAGAACGGGGGATACAGGAAAGGGATTGTGTGACAAAAATCAACCAGGATCGATTAGGAGGGGGGTCGCATTGGCGAGGGGTGCAAATACAAGACCAATGGCAGGAGCGGTCAAAGGTAGGACCTCGCCGTCTGTGGCGATAGTTTGTTGTGCTGACTCGATTTCGGTGCAGTATCAGAACGAGGACGTGGGCTTGCAGCGCACCACCAGAAGAAGGTTTATGGTCGTCAGCAATCCCGATCCTTTTGACGAGAGTGATACAGAGGTCGAAATGATGAATCAAAAGTGATAGCCAGATAGAGATTGGCATACATATCGGTCTTCCCTTTCGTTGTTCTAACCACGTTCTCGTCACGTTCACCGTATAACTGTATGTTTGAAACAAGGACAAAGTACCGAGCGATGTTGTGGTTAGTAAGTTCGACAAGACCGCACAAGGACTGACGTTGAGGTTCTGTTGGTGGTAATCCCGCTGCTGTCACCGACGTGGGGATGTTTTTCCGGTCTTCTCCGCGAAAGTTCACACACAACTGGCCTCGAGCACAGCGTCACCGAACTTTATTGCTCTCAAAAGTACTTCAAGTTGCTCCTAGTTCAGCACACCGTCCATTCTATCCTTATTATCCCTCCTTTTCTCGTCCAAAAAAGCTCCTCTAGATGTCCAGACCCGCCCAGCGTCTCCTTCCATTTTTGCGCTCCCCTGTCAAGGTAACTCCTCGCACTCGTCCGCGCGTAGCGTTCAGCAGGCGCATGACGAGCTCCGAGTCTCACGCTGGCCATGGCAGCGAAGGGAATGATACCCCATGGATGGTGCGTTTACCCAACTAGAACACGCGCCAGAAATGACTTGTGAATCACGCTTCCTGACAATAGATTGGGTCTGCGTTGGTGTTCGGTCCACTAGTGAGTACATGAACAATGCTCGACTGTCCTCCGAGCCGAAATTTTCTGCAGTTCCTTTATCTCGTGTCTCCGTCCGCGCGTAAGACCCCTCATGCAGGACACGGGCACGAAGACCATCGTGTATGTGAAAAGTCAACTCGCAGTACTGACACCACGGTCTCATCACCCTTTACAGGACATGCATTCTGTACGCCATGTTTGTGTGTGCGTCGGGCTTGGGATGACTCATGTGCATAACCTCTATTCTTCCCATGTAGCAGCATGAAGGATCTCAGCCAGCACAAGAGACACCGTCAATGACTGACGACGAAGGTACTGAGGTTTCTGGAGCGGAGGTCAAGGAGTCGATGGAAAAGGGCTTTGTGAGTCATGCCGTTTCTGTTTCTCTCTTTGGAACCTCTCAGTCGTACCAGGAAGTCGACTCTCCGAGGAGCGCTCAAGCATATGAAGAAGCTGTAGCGAAGGCGGAGATAACATCTGTTGAGAAGACACAACCCACCGACTCATCTTCGCCGTCGGAGTTATCCACAGATGAACAAACCGATGCTGCCTCGGAGGAAGCCGCGTCCGCACTAGAGCCCACTCCCTCCGAGCCCGTTAAGCTAGATGCTCCCTCGACTAGTGACGAACACCCGTCGAAAGCTGCGGTAGGTAGTCCTGATTTTGGTGAGAGATCGGAGATAACGAGGCAGTCTCAGGACGAGAAAACGGAGTCCGCAGGGAAGTCGCAAGCTTGACTGCGAGCTGTAGATTTGTGCAGGTCTGAAAAATATGGCAATATCTAGTTACTTGGATAGCAGAGTCGTCTGTTTCATGTCATTTTAAGACCTTTTTGTTACATAAAACCGCGGGAACTTGAGGAACAATTATGAATTATCATAATTGCAATATCACGTGACATTGTGACAGGACAATAGTCTAGGTACAGTCTGAGGGCGAAGCTTGTATTCACTCTTAAAATGAGATTGACAATGCCTCCAACCTTTGTTTTCCTAGTCCTTTGGTCGTCTGTACTACTGCACGGCTGCGCCGAGCCTCTTTTCAATCTTTCGTCGTCGTCCCTCGTTTATCCCTAGTCCTCGACATGCCCTCCGTGTTCACAATATTGTGCTGGCTACTTTTCGTGAACCTCAGTACCTCTGTCCCAATCAAGCCAATCAACCCAGCACACGGATCTGATTATTCTGCCTCTGTGATACCACCAGCTCACATTCCACAACAAATGAAACATCGGTCATTAACAAGAAGAAACTCGACCACTAAATATGTCGTGGCTCATTTCATGGTCGGCAACGCTTACCCATACACCGTGGACAATTGGAAGTCGGATATCTTGCTTGCACATCAAAGTGGATTCGATGCGTTCGCTTTGAATGTGGGAAGTGATAGCTGGCAGCCTCAGCAAGTTGCAAATGCGTGAGTCTCGTTTGTATCACTTCCAGGTACACCTAACTTAAGCCGAGGTAGCTTCGAGGCTGCCCAGCAGTCCGGGACAGGCTTCAAGCTCTTCATGTCCTTTGACATGTCGTGCGTCCATTATTTCTCAAGTGTGATCCTTCCCCTCACTAGTCCAGCAGATCTCTCCCCTGCAACACAGCTGATGATGCTGCTACCCTCCGAACTTACATTACGACGTATGCTTCGCATCCTAACCAATTCATGTATAACGATCGTGTTCTCGCCTCAACCTTCGCTGGCGAATCCTGCAAGTTTGGTCAAGCGTCAGTTCAGTCAGGATGGTCGACGCAGTTTATACAGCAGCTCTCTGGGTCAAATGCTGTCTACTTCATCCCATCCTTTTTCGTAGACCCTTCTACTTTCCAAAGTTTCAACAACTTGATAGACGGAATGTTCAACGTGAGAATGCCCTATCTCGTTATCCAACCTAGCCATAATGTTTTGACAGTGGAACTCTGCTTGGCCTACTCAAGTCACGACGTCGTTCGCGGGATCTTTAACCAAGCTTGTTGGCGAATTGTTCCCGGGTATAGCCTCTGCACCCAATCCACTCTCATCGCTCGTCGGTGCGACTGGGACCGATCAGCAATACATCGACGCCTTAAATTCCATGAACCCGCAGAAAACGTACATGGCCTCTGTATCCCCTTGGTTTTTCACACATTATAGCCCTGAGTCATACGATAAGAACGTGAGTTATACACCCTCCCGCAATGTAATAATATTGATGCCTTAGTTCTCTCCACAGTGGATATACCTGTGCGACGACCACTTGTATGCGAAGCGTTGGGAATCTCTTGTCGGAATTCGAGATCAAGTCGATATCGTCGAACACCTGACTTGGAATGATTACGGAGAGTCCCACTATATTGGTCCCATTCAAGGTGCACAACCAAACAGTCAGGCATGGGTGGATGGGTTTGATCATACTGGTAAGCTATGCTTCTACTTCTGTCTGTGTCTCAGTACCCACTTACTCCCGATAGGATGGCTTAACTTGACTTCATATTACGCTGCCGCGTTT